CCCCAAAACCCCAAAACCCCATGTATTCAGTTTTTTCAAGAATATAGATATCTAGAATATATAGAAATTCACTATGAGACTATTTCTGATAATTAAATCTTAAAAATTGAAGATATGGGTGGAAAAAACTGCACACATATTTCTGAAGACTCTGTAGATATAAGCGAGAATGCAAATAATATCTCCATAAGTCAAGCAATAAATCATAGAAGAAAGCTACATAAATGTGAAAATGGACTGAGTTATTGCAAGTATATTTGCCTTATTTGTATGACATTAGAATGTGATATGAAGACACTCAAAAGCAATCATAAAATGGAGCACTCTATCTTTTTAAATATTGAAAAAGAAAAACTCTACTGTGTAAGTTGCAATGATGATATAAAAGGCTTAGAAAAAGATTAAAACTTTGGAAAAATGCTAGAAATTTTAATTGAAAAAACTAAAATCTTTAAGGAAGACGATATAGTTAAAAGAAGGGTCATTACTAAATTTTCTTATAGAGATTTAATCGATGGGCTAACTAAAAAGTAATTCAAAAAGATAGTAATAATGACTGGAGCTGGAATAAGTGTAAGTGCAGGCATCCCAGATTTCAGATCTCCAGGATCTGGTGTCTATGCTAATTTAGCTAAATATAATCTTCCTTTTCCAGAGGCAATATTCACCCTACCATATTTCATTGAGAATCCTGAAGCTTTCTACACTTTTTGTCAGGAATTCGATTTAGATATATATAAACCAACTCCCACTCATTTATTCATTACTCTTTTAGATTAAATGGGTGTCCTCCTTATGAACTATACTTAGAACATCGATAATCTGGAGGAAAAAGCAGGGCTTGATGTGAAAAACAAACTCTTGCAAGCTCATGGCTCTGCAAGTGGAGCTAAATGTGCTATATGTAAAATGGATATGGACGAGTAAAAACTTAAAGAATAAATAAAAGTGGCCGAGGTGTATAGATGCTTAAACTAAAACTGCAAAGGTCCTGTAAAGCCAAATATTGTTTTGTTTGGTGAAGCCATGCCTTCAGACTTTTTCAAAAAATCTCAAATGATATCAAGCTGCGACCTTTTACTTATCATGGGTACTGCACTCGCAGTTAGTCCATTCAACTCATTAGTCAGTTCAGCTCCTAAAAACACTCCAAAAGTTTTGATTAATAGAGAAAATTTAGCTTAATATGGTTTTGATTTTTTAAAAGATGATGATAAGCTATTTCTTGAAGGTAATTGTGATGACATAATACAAAAAATCGTAAAAGATTGTGAATGGGAGGTTGAGTTTGCTAACTTAAACAAATTATGAGATAATTATGAAAAGTTTTTTCTTTATTAATCAAATTGTTTTTTCTTATTAAATCCCAATAATTTTTTTCATATGGGGTTTTGGGGTTTTGGGG